AATGTCTAAGTCATGATTTGAATTTTTACATGTTTATATAATAGTAGTAATCATAATTAATTAATAATGTTTATAATAGTAGCAATTGTAATTAATCTTTGTAATAAGTAAAAATTATTAATTAAATGCTGTTCTATTGTAGTTATAGAGTAAGAGTATGTTATAATAATATATTTATTATTTGTAATGTAACGATCTAACTTATATATAATTTGTGTAATGCCATCAAATAAAATTATTTAACTTTATCTGTAAGTGTTTAATTTAATTTAATTTTTATCAATTTCAGTGATATTAAATTAGCAAGTATACACAAGTTCAATTATATATCAACTATTACCATTCGAGTCAATTTCAATTAAGCAAATTTAAAGTTCAGTTTAGAAATCCACGAATTGAGTAAAAAGCCATGGATATATATGCATGAGTTTTTAGCATGAAACATAAAAAGAAAAAATTTATGTTTTTGACAAGTTTAATTTGAGTGAAAATCCATGACTTTTTAAACAGTTCGAAGTGGAAAATATTATTATTTTAAAAGTTTAATTTGAAATTAGCTACTAATATGTTGAAATTATTGTATTATACAATGTTAATAAAGTTATTGTAATTATATCTTTTAATTGATATTTCATGTTTTTAATTAGCTATATACTTTAGTTAATATGAGCACTTTATTAGATTGTCTTTGCAATTTACTTAGAATTATTTAATGGCTCAAAGACTAATTATTTATTTCAACAACTCTGTGACAAACAGATTAATTAATTAGTTCAATTTAATTAATAAGTATAACTAGTGTTAGTTTTACTTAACTAAGAAAAATATATTTTTTTATGTATTTTTTCAACTTTAATAAATATAAGCAATTTATTAATTTAATTACTTTATTATTTTATTACTTCATTATAAAGGCTAAGATTGTGTTTGCAATTTTGCTTATAATTAAATTAATTATTTGCACAAAAACTTATTTCAACTGCTCTATTGCAATTAGATAAATTATAAGTAATAAATTAATAAGTAACTAGTGTTAGTTAGTTTTACTTAACTAAGGACAATATATTTTTTATGTATTTTTTAACTTTAATAAATATAAGCAATTTATTAATTTAATGACTTTATTATTTTATTACTTCATTATAAAGGCTAAGATTGTGTTTGCAATTTTGCTCATAATTAAATTAATTATTTGCACAAAGACTTATTTCAACTGCTCTATTGCAATTAGATAAATTAATCAGTGTATTTTAAATAATATATATAACACGTATCAGTTCTACTTAACTTAGAAAAAATATTTCCTTAGATCTTACTATTTTTTTCTTTTCTTATATACCGTGTAACTTTAAGAAAAATGAGCACTTTAATTAATTTAGACTGCATAATAATTAGTTCATATTAATTAATACCTAATAACTTATATTAATTATTTTTGCTTTTTAACTTATAAAAAAAAATACATCTTAAAGACTTAGAATTTATTTCTTTTTCTCTATTATCACTTTTTTTTATTTAATTTAACATATTTATTATCTTATTTAAATACCGCTAGTTAAGGGATTTTTTTAACCCCCAGGTTCTGCGGTTACCTAACCATAGAACCCTGGTTTAAGGTAACCGGAGCCCTGAACGTCAGGTAACCGGAATTCGGTAAACCCTGACGCAAGGGGTCGGGATGGGATTAGCTACCCTACAAATTTACAATTAATTCACTTACCTCGATTTTTTATTTTTTACCCTACCTGCGTCTCGAACCTGCTACCATATCCTTCCAATCTTCTATCCCATTCACTCCTCTTAGCCCGCTACTCCATGCTGATCACACCGAAACACCGCCGCAAACTGGCTTATGTAGACTCGATATAGATAAGCCAGAAAATAATTCAACCGGCGACGATTTAACAAGTCATAAGCACTAAAAAAAGCCGAGTTCGTCACCGGTTGTGTGGCGTAACGGTTAGCGTGATGGCTTTGTACCGCAAAGGTAACGAGTTCGATCCCAGGATCGGACGGGAAAAAAGCTCGTCGTGTTGGCCGGTATACTATGCAAGCGTGCCGGACGTTACGTTGATGTAATTAAGAAAAGCTCCGTGTAGGCGAAGGGGTGAATGAAGAAAACCTTCCCTGCCTCGGGCACCCTTCGTCAGGCATTGCGACCTGGCGGAGGGTGCCCTAGCGGATTTCTTCACTTTATTTACTTAACTAGCCGGCGGGGGCCCGGGAGGCCCCCCCACGCGGGCGCGGAACCGGTCAATCAAGAACCAAGCCAGCCAGCCAGCCCCCGAATTCAACGCCACGCGCGCGCGCGCGTGCACGCGGGTGCGCGTGTGTACGTGCGCGCGCGTGTGCGCGCCCGTAACTAGGGTACAGTATGTACATTCTTAAAAATGTACTAGTACGCGTTGCTACGCAACGCGTACTAGTACATTTTTAAGAATGACATTCTTAAATAAGTACGCGTTGCGTAGCAACGCGTACTTATTTAAAAATGTACTAGTACGCGTTGCTACGCAACGCGTACTAGTACATTTTTAAGAATGTAAAAGTACGCGTTGCGTAGCAACGCGTACTTTTACATTCTTAAATAAGTACGCGTTGCTACGCAACGCGTACTTATTTAAGAGTGTCATTCTTAAAAATGTACTAGTACGCGTTGCGTAGCAACGCGTACTAGTACATTTTTAAGAATGTACATACTGTACCCTAGTTACGGGCGCGCACGCGCACGCACACGCGCGCACACGCGCGCGCACGCACACCCGCGCGTACACACGCGCACCCGCGTGCACGCGCGCGCGCGCGTGGCGTTGAATTCGGGGGCTGGCTGGCTGGCTTGGTTCTTGATTGACCGGTTCCGCGCCCGCGTGGGGGGGCCTCCCGGCCCCCGCCGGCTAGTTAAGTAAATAAAGTGAAGAAATCCGCTAGGGCACCCTCCGCCAGGTCGCAATGCCTGACGAAGGGTGCCCGAGGCAGGGAAGGTTTTCTTCATTCACCCCTTCGCCTACACGGAGCTTTTCTTAATTACATCAACGTAACGTCCGGCACGCTTGCATAGTATACCGGCCAACACGACGAGCTTTTTTCCCGTCCGATCCTGGGATCGAACTCGTTACCTTTGCGGTACAAAGCCATCACGCTAACCGTTACGCCACACAACCGGTGACGAACTCGGCTTTTTTTAGTGCTTATGACTTGTTAAATCGTCGCCGGTTGAATTATTTTCTGGCTTATCTATATCGAGTCTACATAAGCCAGTTTGCGGCGGTGTTTCGGTGTGATCAGCATGGAGTAGCGGGCTAAGAGGAGTGAATGGGATAGAAGATTGGAAGGATATGGTAGCAGGTTCGAGACGCAGGTAGGGTAAAAAATAAAAAATCGAGGTAAGCGAATTAATTGTAAAATTGTAGGGTAGCTAATCCCATCCCGACCCCTTGCGTCAGGGTTTACCGAATTCCGGTTACCTGACGTTCAGGGCTCCGGTTACCTTAAACCAGGGTTCTATGGTTAGGTAACCGCAGAACCTGGGGGTTAAAAAAATCCCTTAACTAGCGGGATTTAAATAAGATAATAAATATGTTAAATTAAATAAAAAAAAGTTATAACAGATAAAAAAAAAATTCTAAGTCTTTAAGATGTATTTTTTTTTATAAGTTAAAAGCAAAAATAATTAATATAAGTTATATGTATTAATTAATATGAACTAATTATCATGCAATCTAAATTAATTAAAGTGCCTATTTTTCTTAAAGTTACACGGTATATAAGAAAAGAAAAAAATAATAAGATCTAAGGAAATATTTTTTCTAAGTTAAGTAAAACTAACTGATACGTGTTATACATATTAATTAAAATACACTGATTAATTGATCTAATTGCAACAGAGCAATTGCAATAAGTCTTTGTGCAAATAATTAATTTAATTATGAGCAAAATTGTAAACACTATCTTAGCCTTTATAATGAAGTAATAAAATAATAAAATAATTAAATTAATAAATTGCTCATATTTATTCAAGTTAAAAAAAAAGACATAAAAAAATATATTTTTCTTAGTTAAGTAAAACTAACAAACAAACATTAGTTATACTTATTAATTAAATTGAACTAATTAATTAATCTGTTTGTCACAGAGTTGTTGAAATAAATAATTAGTCTTTGAGCCATTAAATAATTCTAAGTAAAATTGCAAAGACAATCTAATAAAGTGCTCATATTAACTAAAGTATATAGCTAATTAAAAACATGAAATATCAATTAAAAGATATAATTACAATAACTTTATTAACATTGTATAATACAATAATTTCAACATATTAGTAGCTAATTTCAAATTAAACTTTTAAAATATTAATATTTTCCACTTCGAACTGTTTAAAAAGTCATGGATTTTCACTCAAATTAAACTTGTCAAAAACATAAATTTTTTCTTTTTATGTTTCATGCTAAAAACTCATGCATATATATCCATGGCTTTTTACTCAATTCGTGGATTTCTAAACTGAACTTTAAATTTGCTTAATTGAATATAGTTGATATATAATTGAACTTGTGTATACTTGCTAATTTAATATCACTGAAATTGATAAAAATTAAATTAAATTAAACACTTACGGATAAAGTTAAATAATTTTATTTGATGGCATTACACAAATTTATATATAAGTTAGATCGTTACATTACAAATAATAAATATTATTATGACAGACTCTTACTATAACTACAATAGAACAGCATTTATAATTAATAATTTTTACTTATTACAAAGATTAATTACAATTGCTACTATTATAAACATTATTATTATTAATTATGATTACTACTATTATATAAACATGTAAAAATTCAAATCATGACTTAGACATTAAATAATGAAAGGAAAATGTGTGCTTTTGACATGTTTATATTGAGTAAAAATCCATGGTTTAGTAAATAATGAATAAAAAATTACACGATTAAACGAGTCAATATGTTAAATAATTATTTCTAATTGTAAATTTGTAAATTAACTAATTCTTAATTGTTGTTGTTCACTTCACTTCACTTTGTCTTGATTTTGCTAATAACAAAAGACCTCGAAGTCATCAGAGGCCAGAAGTTCAAGACGCCCAAACATGACAATGAGGTTCATCGGTTGCCGGTCACTTCACTCTGGTCTTAATTCCTCAGAATTGATAAATGAATTTCTCCCATATTACCTATAAAATGCAAAGACATAAATATTTATGTAATTCAGTGAGTGGTGAATAAAAAAAAAATTACATGAGCAATGAGTTAAGATGTTTGTATCTCTAGCAAATGATGGAGCGCCTAAAGACTCACAATGAAAGAAAACATTAATGGTACGAATAAAACAACAAATTTAAAATGTTAACAATAATTGTATTCAATATTTAGATAAATGTATTACAAACATTTAGGTTCTTGGCATTGGCTTCTCAATGCAACACATAGTAGAATCTTGACAAGTGTTTTGGGACAGCACGATCAGCAGTACTAGTCAAATTAGCAATTCGATACAACCTGTAAGAAAGATTTATTAATATTGTAATAAAACAATATTGTACAATAATTAAAATACTATAAACTAAATGTAAAACTATTTGAACAAAACATTAGTTAACAATTTACATGAATACAAATCAAGGGGCGAGAAACCATAGGAGGGAAAATGCAGGGGCCTAAAAGGGACCAGGGGCTTACAAGTACAAGACCATGGGGCTTACAAGTTCGAGACCATGGGGCTTACAAGTTCGAGACCATGGGGCTTACAAGTTCGAGACCATGGGGCTTACAAGTTCAAGACCATGGGGCTTACAAGTTCAAGACCATGGGGCTTACAAGTTCAAGACCATGGGGCTTACAAGTTCAAGACCATGGGGCTTACAAGTTCAAGACCATGGGGCTTACAAGTTCAAGACCATGGGGCTTACAAGTTCAAGACCATGGGGCTTACAAGTTCAAGACCATGGGGCTTACAAGTTCAAGACCATGGGGCTTACAAGTTCAAGACCATGGGGCTTACAAGTTCAAGACCATGGGGCTTACAAGTTCAAGACCATGGGGCTTACAAGTTCAAGACCATGGGGCTTACAAGTTCAAGACCATGGGGCTTACAAGTTCAAGACCATGGGGCTTACAAGTTCAAGACCATGGGGCTTACAAGTACAAGACCATGGGGCTTACAAGTACAAAACCAGGCCGCAGGCTATTCGAGCAAGATGAGACCAAAATCCAAGACGTTCGAGTAAAGTGAGACCAGAGTGCAAACCATTCAGAAGACCGCCTAAAGTTTCGTCAAATAAGCCTATAAAACAAATTATTTAACATAATTCTTAAGTATATATATCAAGTATAAAAATATTTTAATACTTATATTTCTTTGCCCAACGAATGTTTTAATGTCTAAACTGCTGTATCCGCAATCTTCACAATGGAGCCAATCAGTTTACTTTGTCTTGATTTATCACAACTGACGGATGACATTCTTCTATTACACCTATGACATCAAAATAATTCAAAATATTTATATAATTTAAGTAACATATTATAAGTAACATATTATAAGCATTAAAGAAAATTCAAACGACAATTTGAACTAATAAAACAATGTATTTATTTAATAATTAGATGAATATATTATAAGTATCCAAATCATAACCCTTGATTGAATGCAGCATGTATCTTCTCTAGGAACACCATTGAGTTAATGTTTCTGACAGCAAGATAAGTCCAATGCAGGCACGTGTGTAAGTTGAGGGCAATCCTGAAGAGATCATTGCTTACCCTGTAAACAAAAGCATTTAATTAGTTATAAGTCAGACTACTATAATACATTATAAAAATGTAACTCACCAAGTGTTTTTTTCTGAGCCGTTTCACTAAGTCTTCCTAAGTAAACTGCAACAAGTGGTTTTTATTGTAACTGATCAAACTACGTTATTAAAATGTTAGTATTGTTAATGAGTTAGTAAGACTACTGGTAAGAACATGCATAAGACTAAACACAGTTACAAAAAGAACCACTTGTGCAAATTTATAAGAATTAGTGTTCCAAAACCCAAGCAGTTGATTGTCGACTAATCGTTCATGAGCGCTTACAGTCTGATTAGAGTCGATTGATTCAGAAGTGGATAATTGAATCTGGAAAAAAAAAGATTAGAACATGTCTTTGAAAATGTTTGATGAAGGATACAGACTGCCTGATAGATACTTGATAAGTTCTTACTGTTTGATGGATTAAAGGCGATGAGGGCTGTTGATTCAGAAGTGGATAATTGAATCTGAAAAAAAAAAACAAAAGATTAGAACACGTCTTTTAAAATGTTTGATAAAGGATACAGACTGCCTGATAGATACTTGATAAGTTCTTACTGTTTGATGGATTAAAGGCGATGAGGGCTGTTGATTCAGAAGTGGATAATTGAATCTGAAATAAAAAAAAAACAAAAGATTATTATATATTATTAAAAATGTTTGATAAATGATACAGACTGCCTGATAGATACTTGATAAGTTCTTACTGTTTGATGGATTAAAGGCGATGAGGGCTGTTGATTCAGAAGTGGATAATTGAATCTGAAATAAAAAAACAAAAATTATTATATATTATTAAAAATGTTTGATAAATGATACAGACTGCCTGATAGATACTTGATAAGTTCTTACTGTTTGATGGATTAAAGGCGATGAGGGCTGTTGATTCAGAAGTGGATAATTGAATCTGAAATAAAAAAAAACAAAAGATTATTATATATTTTAAAAAATGTTTGATAAATGATACAGACTGCCTGATAGATACTTGATAAGTTCTTACTGTTTGATGGATTAAAGGCGATGAGGGCTGTTGATTCAGAAGTGGATAATTGAATCTGAAATAAAAAAAAAACAAAAGATTATTATATATTATTAAAAATGTTTGATAAATGATACAGACTGCCTGATAGATACTTGATAAGTTCTTACTGTTTGATGGATTAAAGGCGATGAGGGCTGTTGATTCAGAAGTGGATAATTGAATCTGAAATAAAAAAAAAAAAAGATTATTATATATTATTAAAAATGTTTGATAAATGATACAGACTGCCTGATAGATACTTGATAAGTTCTTACTGTTTGATGGATTAAAGGCGATGAGGGCTGTTGATTCAGAAGTGGATAATTGAATCTGAAATAAAAAAACAAAAGATTATTATATATTATTAAAAATGTTTGATAAATGATACAGACTGCCTGATAGATACTTGATAAGTTCTTACTGTTTGATGGATTAAAGGCGATGAGGGCTGTTGATTCAGAAGTGGATAATTGAATCTGAAATAAAAAAAAACAAAAGATTATTATATATTATTAAAAAATGTTTGATAAATGATACAGACTGCCTGATAGATACTTGATAAGTTCTTACTGTTTGATGGATTAAAGGCGATGAGGGCTGTTGATTCAGAAGTGGATAATTGAATCTGAAATAAAAAAAAAAAAAACAAAAGATTAGAATACGTTTTTAAAATGTTTGATAAATGATACAGACTGCCTGATAGATACTTGATAAGTTCTTACTGTTTGATGGATTAAAGGCGATGAGGGCTGTTGATTCAGAAGTGGATAATTGAATCTGAAATAAAAAAAACAAAAGATTATTATATTATTAAAAATGTTTGATAAATGATACAGACTGCCTGATAGATACTTGATAAGTTCTTACTGTTTGATGGATTAAAGGCGATGAGGGCTGTTGATTCAGAAGTGGATAATTGAATCTGAAATAAAAAAAACAAAAGATTACTATATATTAAAAAATTAAAAAATGTTTGATACAGACTGCCTGATAGATACTTGATATTCTTACTGTTTGATGGATTGTAAGCGATGAGGGCTGTTGATTCAGAAGTGGATAATTGAATCTGAAATAAAAAAAAAAAGATTAGAACATCTCTTTTAAAATTTTGATAAAGGATACAGACTGCCTGATAGATACTTGATAAGTTCTTACTGTTTGATTGACTAGAGTCGGTTGGGTCGAATAGGGCAGTTGATTCAGTAGTGGAGAAAAAAAAAAAAACAGAATGGAATACATCTTTTAAAATGTTGATAACTAACACATACTGTTGAAGTAGCTGAAGTTATCTGCAGGTGAAAATTAAATATATAAATCCCAGATTCAAACTATTTCATGGATTGATAATATTATTGCTCACACTTTGTCCTAATTGATTTTTGTATTATGGCTTTCAAGACGCTCCTAAAAGTGATGAAAAAAAAATTATGCATCAATATAACAACTTATGCATATCAGAATAATAATAAATTGGCGCAATGCTATATGGATTGCAAACGGCAGCAGTTGTTTATAATTGACAATAGTTTATAATTATATAATTAAGTTATACATAATGTCGAATGATTCAGATTATTACATTTTGTTTTATAGTGGATTATTGTGTTAGTGTGTCAGTCAAAACTAGAACTACGAATGCTACCTACATAACTTTCTACTACCCCCAAATACTATATTAGCATGCAAATAATTATCTGAATCATGACATACATAATATGCTAGCAAAAGCAGTACTTAGAAATTGATTATATAGCAAGAGGTTGTATTTGTCAAATAGATACGATCGCGCCAAACTACGTATGCCGTTCACAATCTACTGTCAATGTCACAAATTATTAAAAGAAATTGCACAAAATTAAAATACAATGGAATCAAATGCGAATGAATGAATGAGAACCCAACAATGATTTGTTTAATTTTGCTCGTTTTCATAAACCCACTTAATATTATTGGGTACTTCCCTGGGTCCTCTCCCTTGGTCCTGGAGGTCCTCTTGCATTGCTGTCCATCACACAAATGAACGATGTTGACAACCGCGTGGACCAATCAAGTCGCCGGCGGAGCCACTTGACACGGCTCAAAAATGACATCGTGCGCAAAAAATTTCGAATCGGTCCGATTAGACAATTATCAATAAATTAAAATTAATTTAAATTACATTATTTAATTTTTAATTAAAATTAAAAATATATAAAAGTAAAAATAAACAATAGATAAATGAATAAAAAAAATAAATAATTTATAGAAAAAATCGCAAATTGAAAAGAATAACTAAAAATAAAAAAAATAGTGAATAATTGATATGGAAAGTATATAAATAAACAAAATAATTGAAATGAAGAATAGATAAATGTAAATGAATCAATTTTAGAAAAAAACAGCTAGTGGTCCATAACGTGCCTTAAGGCAAATTGCTAGAACTTTCCATAACGTAATAAATATCCAAGTAATATTAAACATTTTCAAATAGATTATTTTAAATAATGACACTTTCATTATTCGTATTTTAGAAATCAAAATTAAAATCCAAAGCTTCGGTCTCTCAAAAAGTACAAATTTTTCATTTAAGAGAAAATTTGTATCCACAAACAAAAAACATACACAATTTTTCTAAGGTTTGCTAAAACTTTCAGAAACTTTTGAAACGTGATATGTAAAATTTTCATTTTCGATTTTGGGACGATTACAATAATCGTAGAGAAACTACAGAAAGTTCCTAAATTATTAAAGGGTAAGTAAAAAAAAAATAAAAAAAAACAACTAGTAAAAAAATCAATTGATGCATAAATAATAAATAATTAAAACTCGTGAATGAGTAAGTGAATTATTAAAAAATTGAACTATTTGTAAGCGGTATTTTAAGACACATACATGATCTTTGCGATATAGTGTAAATAATTGACTTAATTGATGAGCGATTTATTAGTATTCCAAGTGGATTTATTACACATTATTGTAATAATGGAAAGTTAAATATAAAAATAAAAAATAAAATGAAAAAAAATATGAATAAGTTCTTAATGACGATATCAAAAATTAAGATGAATAATTAATCAAATGATTAAATAAAATGCATACCTTAAAGTCTCTTAATAAATTCAGTTTCCAAAAAAGTCTTTTTGATCCCTTAGCAGATATCGTCTCTTATGGGTTGCCATCCTTAATTGTGGTTCATCAGCAAAACTGTATCAAGAAAAAAGTATCAATACAGAGCCTATATAATAAATATTGTACAAATATTTTGAATATTTAATTATTTTAAGATATGATATGATAGTTGATAATTTTGTGATTAGTTTTACATGTTTATTTTTTGAACGTAAGCATTAGCAGTAACAGTTGAAGCTTGGAGTATGTTTCTGGAAAGACTATGTATTGATCTTGTCCTTGTAGTATTTTATAAGTGTGTATTAAAAAGCATAATCATACTCTAGGTTTCTCAAAACCTAAATAATTGGACTTGTATCTTACAAAATAAGAATTGCTTGTTTTGTTATCTTACCGATAGTTAATGAAGCAAAAGTCTACTGCAGCAAGCAAGCTAGTAAGATAATACAGGATTCTCATTCCAGAGTGACTTATTTTTTATAATTCAATTACTTGATTATTGTCGACATCTATTTATAGCAGAGCTGAAATATAAAAGGTAATACTAAGTTTGGATTACTTTTTGTATGTCTTCATCTGAAATTGAATATTGCACATATCTTTGACTAATCATTACAGTAATTCTTGTTATGAGAAATAACTGAAATAATTCAGTGTTCACATGACTTAGCTTCAATGCATTTTGCCTAGGAAACTTTAAATCGTAGCAGCTGTCAAGAATAATAAGATTCAGATAAGATTTCCAATTGATGCGATATAGGCCATTAAAACAACTCCCCAATGAAATTGAAAGACAACCATCTGCATCAAAACAATATCAATGGTCCTTTTCTCAATAATTTCTCAAACTGCATGAAAACACTCGATATTCGCATCTATGATCGCATGAGATTTGACGCGCCATTTATCTTCTCAAATTGTTACTAACCTCAATCAAAATCTGTCATTATGTAGTGATGGGTATTTGTAGCACCTTTGGGAAAGATCATGAAAACACCCGCATAAGCTTCGAATCTACAAATAATTCTCAAACCGATTACATACAATCACTAATGCAAAATACTAAATATTAAAATACTCGGCCATACAACCTTTTACTTTCACAGGGTACAATGGCAAAAAAAACGACTAAAATGTGGCAAATGTACTTACGTACTACTTGAGTGTCCACTGGCTTCCTATTACTGGAGTGTCTACTGGTTTTCCAAGATATTCGTTCCGCGATGGCTGAGATTAAAATGGATTGCGCAATTTCGCTCTCCGACAAGAAAACCTTGCGCCATGCGCTTTCTTGAAGTGTCATCCGGTCTCCTGTCACCTGTCATCAGGGTATACAACCATAGATTTTATACAATACATGGAATGGACTGCTTATTGAGCGCATAAATAGTGTCAAAAGATGTTCTATGGTATGAGGGCATATGAAGGTAATTTCGCGGCCGAGATATGTCAAATACAAACACGAGCTTTACCGAGATTACTCGAATGCTCTCGATTGCTTAAATTTTACAGTTGCTTGGGTTCACGAGGTGTTTGATCGCTCGTGTTTTTTTTACCTAAAAGAGGATAAAAATACGCGTTTTAAAATTGTTAGTACCAGACAAAATCTAATAAGAAGTAAAATGTCTTCTAAAATGTGTTTGGTCTGTGGTAAAATGTACTTAACAAATAGAATGCACCATGAAGAACATAAAAAGCAAAGTTGATAAATATGTACGCCACTTTCACACGAAAATTGTGTTTTTAAACACCAATAATTTAAACAAATATTTCATTATTGTTTCTAATTCTCATAATAGCTCAAGCCAACTGTTCTTATTTTCAGTTAATTTTATATATGTAAATATTTTTTAATTTTTTTTTCTAATTTCCCTTAAAACTTTGTATAACTAAAATAAATAAATAGTTCAGTACATTCATTAGTCAACATAAATTGTATATTATATAATAATTTCCCAACAATTTCGAATACACGGACTTTCATTTGACGTTTAAGCGATCGAGTGCAATTGACGTGTTCGTATTTTTGACATATCTCGGCCGCGCGAAATTACCTCATATCATATGCCCTCATACCATAGAACATTTTTTGACACTTTTTTACCTGAGAAATGTATGGGGACTAGCAGTCCACGTATATAAGGTCTATGGTCCGAACTTTTGAAACAGAACATGGAACAGAAAAAAGTGTTCTGCGCATGCGCGGATGGTTTCTGACCGTCAGATTGGCTCGGATAGAACGAACCCTTTAAAGGAGCAAAGTCCACAATTTTAGTCTTTAAAAGATTGAGAATTTAAAAAGATTCAGATATATGTAAACTGTTACCTTACCTGAATATTTATTTATCATAGCGCAAAATATTTATTTAATAAATTTTATTTATTACTGTGAGTGAGTCAAATTATCAGTAATAAATTGCGATCAAAACTACAAATGCTTAAAAGACTGCCATCACAGATGGCGCAATAATTAAGAATTTACTTAAACATGTTAATAAATAATATATGATTACTTAATATATAATAGTATCTTGTATCATATAAATTGTGTAATATATATGATTAATTTATAATAATAATAATAAATTTTACATACAGTTCAAATTTGTTCATCAAAATGTGCTAATATAATTCTATTTTCTATCTATAATATATAAACTATCTTTTGGACTTTATTTTTAAGTTATTGTATTTAATTTATAAAATATGAAATAATCTATAATATTATTGCTGTATATCAACACCTGCCCCTAACGCAATGTTTCGTAATTGGATTGAACTTAGCCCCATGACGACATGTTCTGCTGACTGGTTTAGCACCAACTTCTGGACAGTCAATGTAATCATCACAATTTCCATTGGGTCTGGAAATAAGCCTGCTACCTTACATCGAGATGTTGGTTCAGACGTTTGATGTTGGGTTAGATGTTGATGTTGGTTGCTATAACGTAAAAACAAATGAAAATTAACAGAAATAGATTAGTAGTGGTTAATTTATAGTAGAACGTTTATCGATAAGCGCAAGCTGAAAAGGCTTACCATGAGAAAGACAAATTGTAACTAGTTGAACGATTCAACAAACTTCTGCTTTTAACGCAACTTTTTTTTAATTTTCAAAAAATATATTTTTGAATACCGAAAATAATTCGAATAATTTTAACTCTGGCTGATATTCTAAAATCACTTAACTTTGCTATTCAGTTTATACAATTCAGTTTATATAATTTATAATATTATAAATATTTAGACGATGTTCTTCATTTATATTTGATTGATTCAGTTTTGTTTATTTACTTTTCTGTGAACATATATAATTTACAGTATTTAAAATAATCGATTTGAAAACATTTAATTTTCCTCGAATATTTTATTACGATACGGGAAGTACAGCAATTTACCTTAAGGTACGATGCCATACACTACTAGTTAATAGTTGCTTCAGTACTTACGTAATATATGAAGTTTATATTTATTAAGTAGGGATATAAATAAATTATACAGAGAATGAATAAAACATAGGTAATTTTAATATAGTTATACCGAAAGATTTCTTCCAGTTCTTGATAGTATAAAGGGATTATATCATAAAAATTTCACGTATGGATGATGTAATTTTAGGAAATAATTTTAAGAAAATATTTTTTTTTTAATTTTTTTATTTGGCCTCGCTTACTCTGAGCCTTTAGCCACCTACAACATTTTTATTTATTTACATTCTAATTTTTATATCATTTTCAATCTATATATGTATCCTAATCTATAGTTTTCTTTTAAGAAAATATTGAAACACCTTTTATTTATCTAGTATTTTTAAATTAACGTAAAACTGAAAGAGTTATGAAACATCACAAAGTTAATCTAAATTTTGCAAATCAATAATTATTATTAATTATAAGTTAATTTATATAAATTATAATTTATTGTATGTAATAATTTTCTAGAAACACAAATAATTTCGAATTTACTTTTCCAATAGGACCCTCATTTCTTATATCTACACATTCAAGTAAGTTCACTTTTAAAAAAATCTTTCTGTTAAATTGAATTCTCTGGTAAACTGGAGTTTATAGTAATAGATATAACTCATGAAAATTTAGGAGAGTTTAATTTCAGATCTTATACGACCCAATTTGGTCGGAACAGTATCGGATTTCCACATTACGCCAGAAGAAATTTTGTCTCAAATTGTTCCTATAATTTTTGAAATATAAAAGTTGAAATAGTTTCTGAAAGAAAAAATTTTGGATGCAAAAATTCAATGGTGGGCTTAAAGATACTATTAATTATGAGCATCCGTTTGCAAAATTTACAAAAATTAGCAACAAATTACCAAAAAAATTTGGGCACCTGTGGTTATACTAGCGACAAGACTCGGCAAAAAAACCTATATATTGAAAAATATAAAAAGTTTATATTCATGGTCAATAATTTTGGTTATTAATATTTTATTCATTAAAAGATTTTTATTTTATTCATAGTATTTGTTATTTTAAATCATGTTCAAGATTTACTTAATATCTTTCAGTAATGTTAATTTTTTAGTAATGTTTATAATTAACATGCTGTTAGTAATACAATGCTAAAAACGTTAACTAATTCAAATAGGTTCTTTAAAATATTGAAAACTAGGTGAAAAGAAACTGTATTAGATCTAACTGATCTATGTAACTATTATATCTGTAATTATATTGCAACATGTTTGAAACATCCATGTCCGATAATTAAATGTCACTAGAAAAGGAAATAATGGAAACAATTAATTTAAGACTTGCATTGAATCAGATATGATTGAAACGAGATAATACAAAGAACTGATATTTAAAGTACAAAACACAAAAGTATGAACAATTGTCAGAAAATAACACTAACACCCTATGCACATACCTTTCAAGCCTTTAAATCATTATAATTATTAACAATTTACTTTAGAAGTTATGGTGTTAATAAAATACATCTCAATTGATAATAATTTATTTGGTTAGTAAAATACATTAAACTATCTTACTTTGGTTAGTATATAATTATGTTATTCTCTCAACAAACTCACAAGATTATCTTCATCTTCATCATCTTGTTCGATGCAGGAACCTTTGAAGAAAAATTCACCATGGGGGCACCTATATAGCCTAGGAACAAGTTGGCCTTGAGGATTTGCATATCCTCCAGCAACTCTATGGCAGACGTAGAAGTAGCTCGAACCAAGGCTGAGAGCGTTAGACTCGCCAACAGCTTTGCATTGGATTTTATCCCTATTCGCACATTCGCCATCTGTTATAAAAAATGCGAACTATTTCAAAATATATTCAAATAAACACACACACACACATATATATATATATATATATATACATACATACATACATACATACATGCATACAGGGCCGGTCCTGGGGTCCTCAACGCCCGCATGCAAGATTTGTTCTAGCGCCCCCCCCCAATAATTTTAAATTTTTTAACATTTATCATTAAATTTATATAAACATTTACGTAATTTTTTTTAAATTTATTCAATTCAATTAGATATAATCTAAAAGCGTATTAAAAACATTGATTTTAATTTTATTTAGAAAATCCAAGCAATTTGCGAGTTGACCATAATCAAATATTTTACATTTTCAAGTATTTCTAACATATATGTAATATTAATATTTGGGCTTTGAAACATTCTACTTATTTCATTTTTAAACATAGGACTCGTTTTGCATGTTGAATTTTTTAAATTTTATTTTAGTTTTATTTTTCATTATTTACAATATCCAAAATTGCATCGTAAACTTCTCCTTATTGATACCGTAAGGGCCGAATTGTATTTATATTTACTTTCTCATCTGATTCAGATTGTTGTTTTTAAGTTAAATTTTTAACGTATTTTAAAAGATGCAAAGAAATTACATATTTCCTGAATTATATTGAAAACAAAACAATTATATTTGTATCTGTATTATTTCTACTTAAAAGTTAATAATTAAATTTAGTATGAGCACCACTAGTTATAAAAAAACCTCACGATTTTTGTTTCTGAGTACATTTTGCTTAAATTTTTCATATCTGCTCCATTTCCATAAACCTAGCCACGCATGGCTTCAACTTTCAAAGCTTATCAGATGCGAAACATTTTCAACAGTTTCTCGGTCTTAATAAGCCAATTTCTATTCACCGACTTCCCATTTTCCATTTTTCTCTATTATAATTTGTATCAATTTTTTAACAAGTTTCGTTCAAACTAAATCAGCTCGAAATTTTTCATTAATAATGCCCAATAATTTAAATTTTTGTAGGTTTGCGCTTACGGGATTGAACTCTAGATAATTTCTTTTTCGATTCCACATTAACTTCAAACGAAGAAAAGTTTAATAAGTACATTAAACAATAAGCAGAACAATAATTTACTAATTTGCAGAGTAATTAATTGTTTCTACTGATATCACATTGCAAACTGAATGTGCTTTTTCCTATTTATAGTTAAGTTAGATTGTTTATTATAATGTATTAAGTATAAGGTTGTCAAATATCTCCCTTCCGCCTTTTTGTATTATAAACCAAGAGCAAAAAAGCGGAAGGGAGATATTTGACAACCTAATATACTAGATTTATTAGTAGATAGATAATATTAGGAAAAAATGTAAATAATATATTATAAATTTAATTTCCGAAACTCGTTTTGGCGCCCCCTAAAGCGTGCGCCCGCATTTTTTGCATGCATCGCATGCAAGGTAGGACCGGCCCTGCATGCATACATGTTAAAATATTTTACATTTTGATGTTGAAATATGTGAGTCACAATTTTCAGGGCAATCATCAAATAGAAATTGTAGTACAAAATCTTATTATTATTATTACCATTAGTTAATTAGGAACATTACAGTCCTCATTCCACTAAAGATGACATAAGATAATTTGTCAAAAACGTTTGGAAATGATAAAGATTTCGTAAATTTCTACAGTTTTTAATTGATGTAATACCTTGAAGATTGTACAAAATCAATGATTTTCTTCCCCTCCCTTGTTTATTATTTCCATTGCCGTTTTATTAAATGTATTAGTAGCATAAAAAACAATCCGTTTCCTATCAAAAAATATTTTATCTTCTAGCGACATCTATTTTTCAACTGGGCCCTATTCCTTCTTATTCCTATTTGATATTGCATGACTTATCAAGTTGGCCTTCAGTCAGTTAAAAGTTTTTCAGCCGCCTACAATTCGTATTGTACGTGCATTTATTAAGAAGAACAAGTAGTAAGAGCTAACACTTACAATTAGTGCTATTTAAGATTTTCATATATTAAATTTTAAATTTTAATACATCACTGATGATGAGAAAAACCTAGTCTTGAAACGTTTGTAAAATTAATATTATTTAATAAATTGCAAAAAAGAGTATTGTTTGTTCATATTTCTAAATTAATATATTTTAAGCACTCAGAATATATATAGAATAGAGAAAGAGAGAGAGAGAGAGAGAGAGAGAGAGAGAAAGAGATAGAGAGAGAGAGAAAGAGATAGTAGAGAGAGAGAGAGAGAGAGAGAGAAAGAGATAGAGAAATAGATAAAGAGAGATAGAGAAAGAGATAAAGAGAGATAGAGAGGTTTCAAATAAGCACAGACATTTGTTTTTTTATTCAATAGATACCAACCAATGGAGATTTTCTTCAAAAAAATTTTTCTCTAAAAAATCATTGAACATTTGCTTTTGTAATTGTTAATAAACGAATCCACTAAATCGTTTTACATGTGCAAAACATTATTAATCAGAAAAACTTAAGCCCAAAAATCAGAAAGACTTATGCTAATCTAAAGTCTAAGCTCTTCACTAATGAAAAATTTAAGTTAAATCATTTCACTAAGGAAGCGTTTAAGTTAAACTACAGTTTTACCATGCAAAGATTTATCAAACTGCCTGATTTATTACATCAAACCACATAAAACCTATAATTACAGAAAGTGCTATCGCTGGATAGCTATCCTTCACACGCTGTCATATCAAAATTGTTGTAAAAGTAGCTGAATGTACAGAGCATGTACAATGTATAGTTTGCTACAAAAAATAAACCAAAATAAAAGAAAAAAAACTGATGATAATAGTTTTTTTATCGAATTCGTACTTACTATCCAATTTTATGCTGCACATGGCCGTCATAGGATCGTATCCATAACCTCTGTCGCAGGTGTGTTCAATAGATTTTTGGCGTGGTTTTGTTTTGTCAACTCTGGTCTGACTTTTGATTGCTTCTATGGACATATTTTCAATTTCAGAATGTAGGTAAAAGCTTCTGTTGGAAGCTTTAACACCTTCTGTATTTGGAATACAGAAATGGAATTTCTTACAGTCTTCCAGATCAGGGAAAATACCTGCAAAAACAATTATTTATTACTTTATTAACTAATTTTAATATGACAATTTTGGTGTTGAACCATGTCCTAGAAAAGCAATAAAATCTGATAAGTAATTGTTATCTAATAAGTGATTGTGATGCACTGTGTGACAGAATACACTATGTGAGCTTCAATTTATCAAATAGAAATTAGATATTTGCCTCTTTTATTAAAGAATGTATTTAATGTATGTTTCAAAGAATTTACTCACCAATAGATTCGCATACAAAACTGTTGTCTACGGGAGGAGTTTGATCAGGACAGTTTAATGTATTTTCAGAGGCTCTAACGCAACCTGTACCTGGTTTGCAAGTCATTCCTGTAAATTAAATTGAAACTAGCTGTAAGTGGAATTCTGTCTTAAGGCAATTAAGGCAACGTGCCTTAAGGCAAATTGCAGGATCATCCCGTACCAAAAATTTTTATTTTTTTTAAAAACAATTAACATTTTTGAAAAAAAAATACTTCGAAAAAATTAGATTTTTGAGAAACTATAAATTTGACATTAAATTACTTTTTTTAATTTTTTTTTTTTGAAAACAAATTTTTTTGAAAAGAAAAATGTTTTCTTCATTTTGAAATATTTTGGAAACTCTGAACTTTTTTTCAAAGCAATTGTATTGCTTGAACTGCATAGAGACGAAATGTCAAAGCGCGCAAGTGCCGCGCTGCCATCTAACGCATAAGCATTGGTACGGGACCCATACGAATGTAAACAAAATTCATACTTATTATTAAAATCTATAAAATATCTGATAATTTGATGTGCATATGTCTAACGATCATTTTTGACCTCCAAATGGCATTTTTTTTACTTTTTTCTTTAGATCTCCGAAACCGTTGGACCTGCCTTCATAAAAATATGATCAATTCTTCATCTTGTCAATACAAGTAAAATGTTTTTTGAATTATTAAAATCGGACGCTCCGTTCTCTTAAAAACTGAGTTACCATTTTTGGCACTTTTTGCCCCGTATCTTCGGAGCGCCTAGACCTGCCTTTGCCAAAAACTAATCAGCACGTCTACTTATCAATACGAATCGAATTTTTTGAATTATTCAAATCGGTTGATCGGTGTTCCCGAAAACGTCGACGAAAATTTGTATCCGCACATACATACATACACGCACACACGCACACACGCACACACACACACATACATCCATTTTTTCTAAGGTATGTCAAAATATTCAGAAACCTCTGAAACGTAAAGATATATACAAATTTTCGATTTCGATTTTTTTGCGATTACTATAACTTGCCTTACGGGAAGTTAAAAATCACCGAATAGACGATATTCCAACCAAAGTGTAACTAGTGGTGTATGGCATAGTGCGTTAAGACAAATTGCTGGAATTTCCCGTACCGTCACAAAATATTCGAGAAATATTGAATGTTTTCAAATAGAATATTATAAATAGACAAAATATAAGAAACTTATGAATCGGACGACAACGTTTATATATGTATTACAGAAAAGTATATAAACAAAACATTATTTGAATTTAAAATGAAGGATATGTCAAATATTTATAGGAATTAAGAAACTGAATTATCGAAAATTATTTATTATTTATTATTATATATAAGTCATCTTCAGGACTTTAGCCAGAATTAAAATTAATATACCAATTATTTTCGATATACAAAGAAAAATTTGGAAAAAAAAAATTTTTTCAAACTAAAAAAAAATGGCAAAAGCAATGGTTTCGTCATCACAAGCAGAAAATTTACGAATTGAATGTTTTTTGGATCATTCAAATCGGATGCTTTGTTCTCTCAAAAACTTTATTTCTATTTTTTGTTGCATTCTAATTATTTCAGAAACAAGAATGTAAAAATTTCTTGTAAATTTACACATAAGTTGTTTGTAGATTAGTTAAGGTTGTGGTAATACTCAAACAGTGTTATAGCAAACCCGTACTTTAAAAGTATTCTAATGTACCTTGTTATAGCAAGTACGTGTTATAAAAGTAAGTAACATTAATTTATATAATAAAAATCATTCAAAATGACTTACCACTCGGACATGTTTCCAATGTTGTTTCTAAGAAATCAGCACCAATCGCAATGCAAAGGTTTGCTGTCTCACAATCCTGGCACTTTATTTCTCCAGGAGCTGAACAATCTTTACCCATTTCGTCTTTACCTTTCAGCATAAATGCTGAAAGAGATGGATGGTACTTCCATGTTAATCCATCGCAGGAAACCTAAGATAAAAAATTATAACAAACGTTATTTCAATCAATTAAAATAGCTCTGTGTGAAATAGAAACAGTGGGTCTAAAAAGAGAATTGTTTGTGTCAATCATTACTAGCCTAATAAATAAAATTTAAAGGATACCTATTATAAAACGCAAAGAAAACTGGATTGGACATATGATATAAAGGATGTCTGGTAGTCATCGATTGAAATATGGAAAGACTAGGACATAAACAAGAAAAAAATAAAAGTCCAAGAACATCTGCTATATTGTTGTAATTAATAAATGTGTTGTAATAAATTTCTTTCAAAAACTGTAATAATTATAAATTATTTCTTATAAGCAACAGTTATAAACAAATTGCTCTCAAATGAACAGCTGTAAGAAATTAAATAGACTTATTCGCGTATTCAATCATTTTTATATTGATCTATTATTAATATTTTAAATATTTTAGAAAATAAATTTAATTAAATATTGCATTTAAATTTGCGATCAAAATTATTGATAAATTAGATATTAGATTAGATAGAGTGCTGATCTTCCGATATTAAATCAATAAGTTCAAATTCAAACACTACGATTAAAATTATACAATGATCATGCAATATTATTAAATTGCAATTAAATTCAATCGATATAATTGGATTGAATCGTAATTAAATTAATATTTTCTATTATTATATATAAAACTGCGTTATTAATCTGGATTGAATGTGTATATCAAGTATCTCTTGACTGATGGAATTTTCTAAACCGCAAGTGCACTTATAGATAATTACAGATAATATAAAACGCACCATTTATATAAAATGTATTCATTTTTAATTTCAATCTTTCAAAAGTAAAAATAAAATCTTCTCATATTTATATTACATGAAATAATTATTAACTGCATAAGTTAGTTTACAAGTGTATAAGTTGTTTGATTCAACAGTTCCTGAAGAACTGAACCATATCCCCCAAATATCCACAAAACGTCGATATAATTATATATAAAAGAAATTGTAAATGGCGTTTTTAATGTCGAAATTTTGATTCTTCGATGCTACTTATCAAAACAAACAATATGAAAATTAAAAACCAAGCAAAAACATTAGTATGTATTTCATAATATTATGTGTGCATATGAATTCAAGTGTTTTTCCTATATTTTTTATTCTTGAAAATTTTTTTATTTAGTTGAGTTGAGTTATAATAGGAATTCAAGTAAAATATATAAAAAAAATAAAATATATTATATTACATATTAATTATATAATAACTGATAGAAGTGACTTCGATTAATTTAGCAGTCTTCACAATTTAAATATAAAACACCATAACAAAAAAATTTAATAACGTACTGTAACATTTATATAAAATTTTAAATGTATAAGAAACACAAAAATATGATATGTTAAACCAATAACACTTAATTTCAAGGTAATTTCTAATAAATTATTGTGTATTATATTGCAAAAATGTTTGGTATCTCAATTAAAGTCATTTCTGGGTACCTATCAAAATTTCGTAGTGATTTGATGAATTAGTGATAAAACTTGTAATAAATTTCACATTTGGAAAGTTTTTTTTATTTTTTTTTATGTGAACTATTAACGTGTAATATAAGCCGTTAATATAATAGCGAAACGCAATAGATTTTTTAAGCTATAAAATGATAGATAATAGCTATTTATGTTAGTAGATATTAATTTTTAGTTATACTTTGACTTCATTATTATTTGATATGGAAATATATGCATTTAAAATAAAAAATCCCGAAAGAACAAGAAATATAGATTCACAGTTTCAAGTGTATAATATACTTACAATTAGTTTCATCGTTAATAAAATATATTACTATATTAATTCTTTTTTTTCAATTTCATTCGGGTATTAATTTATTTTCATTCACTTAAAAATGACTGTTAAATTAAGTATACTATGTACATGAAACTATGAACTTTAGTTCGTGATTATGCTTAATGTTATTTTTTTCTCAGCAACTTTTTTGGTAGTAGGAACTTAAAATGTTTAAATCGAATGTTAATTCAGTGTGTGTTTAATGTTGATTTAAATTTATTTCAATGCATATATATTTGAATGTCAAATACTAACAAAGTTTAAAAAATTACAATTCCAAATTATGTATTTTTGACCGCCTTGCAAAACTGTTTTCCATTTTCTTGCATTCGGATGCAATTATATTAATTACTTCAATTCAATTACAATTATATTAATTGCGTATATATTAAGTATCTTCAGTAAAAATATCATTCGTTATCACAGTAACTAAATTTACGATGCAATATTTTCCTTTGCGTTCCACGTGTGAGTATCGATTATAATAAGTTGATAAATTGGCTTTTATAAACACAAATTTTAAACAAATATAGTAAACATAATTTTAATGACTAATAAGAAAACACATTACATATAGCAAAATTCTTTCAAAAATTATTATTTATAAACACATTTAAAAAAAATATTAATCGTCATCAAAGCAACTAAATTTACAAGGCAATATTTTCCTTTTCGTTATTTTAAAGAAATATAGTAAATAAAATTTCAATGACTAATAAGAAAACATTACATATAGCAGAATTATTTCAGAAATTAATATTCATAAACATTATATTTTAAAATTTATAAAATTTATAAAAAATATTAATCGTTATCACAGCAACTAAATTTACGATGCAAAAGTTTCCTTTTCGTTCCACGTGTGAATGTAATAAGTTGAACAATTTGGTTTTATAAAGACAAATTTTAAACAAATATAGTAAATAGAAATAAAAAAAACATATTGCACACAGCAGTATTCTTTCAAAAAATATTTTTAAATATTATATTTAATAATATATAATTAATAATAATATTTATAAATATTTTCGAAAACGTGACTCAAATTTCTAACGCACATAATTACACGTAGTTTTTGATAAAGTTTTCAGAACTTTTTGAAAACTATCTAAAAGTACCTTTTAGCACACTTTAGAGAGAATTATTCTATCTTTCTTATCTTTGGAATAACATTTATAATGTATCGATTCATTTATTCGTTTATTTATTTAATTTACTCCAAACGTAATATATACTTTGATATAGTAACTTAATAAATCCTGATACATATTGCAAAGCGAATTATATTCTAAACTTTTAAAAATTACCAAATTAAAATATAGTTTAAATAAAATATATAAAATATTGTTTTTATAGTATTGTTTTTTTATTCGGAAATTTTATTTATTTTATTTATTAATTTTATTATTATTATTATTTGCTTTTAGTTTATATTAAATCATCATACTACGGATATCATTTTAATGAAAATACTATCCTTTATTTTGTACTCTTTTTTTATTGAAATTTATGTTATTGTTCATTATTATTACTAGATGTTAAATTATATAGCAGTTGTAACAAATATTGTAATTAAAAAAAATAAACAAAATAATATGTATAATTTCCACTATTTTAATATGATTCAAAAAATACTACAATAATACATTACAAAAATTAAAACTACAGAAAGAAATAACTAAAATATTTTCACTTACTTGGGCGACAGCAACAGCAAGAACTAACAGTGCTACTTTTGTAACCATTTTTCTAACTTTTTATAACTTTTTTATGAATTTTGATTGATTGTCTTCCCAGTTGGCTACACCTAAATGACCACTTAGCACAGTACTCAGGTAATATATAGGCGATAGATATGGCTAAAAAAAAGTGTGCTCAGATATGTATGTGCTCTTGAGTATAGGCAAACATATCAGTTAAAAATATAAATATATATATATATATATATATATATATTTATATATATATATATAATACAGTTATAACAGGAAAACTATCCACTTTTGAATAAATTCTGAAGTCATAACTGATTAATAAATATAATTATCAATTGGTAAATTTACTCCAAAATTACATTAAAATATAATAAACATATATATACATATATATGTATAATATACATATATATATATATATATATATATATTTATAAATATATATCCCGGTTTGGCCAGGATAATCCCGGATTTCCACCTTCTGTCCCGGGTTCTATTAAAAGCATTATTTGTTCCGGATCTAGATCTTTTGTTCCGGGTTTTCAAGAAGTATAAACAAATTTAATCTTCACTCTTATTTGATAAAAAAATTAGAACAATCCTTTCAAATATCTAAAAATAAGATGTGCAAAGGATATGCTCATATGAAACAATACGTTATGAATGAAAAAATTGCTCAATACAATACGAGTGAAATTTTGAAGGCGGATTTAGAATAGCCTCTTACATTAATAATAACAAAAATTATGAAAACTTTTTGATGGGTGTCTGGCATTAGTACTATTTTCCTAAATTATATAAATAAATAAATTATAAAAATTAATTGTAATAATAAAATTACAAATTATAAAAAAAATTAACAAAATTTTATAAAAAGTTTAAAAGCGAAAAATATAAGATATAATATAACATATAATCGAATAATAAAGTTCTTGCAAAAAGTCAATTGTTCTGATTAAAAAATTGATTCATTTAAAACAAATGATTTTTGCATTGCATTCTTAAATAGTATTTTAAAATCAAAATAATTTTTTTAGCATACAGCCCCCGTCCAAGATTAGCATAACCTAAAATTACCGTCTGAATAATTCTCTGAAAGTGCACACTCCAACCAAAGTTTCTTGATTCTTCTTCTTAAGTTAATACTTTTTTTATAAATATATCAAATTTTTGTTGTATTTTTTTATTTATGATTAAAATAATCAAATACAATGTTATGCTCAAAATTTTGATTCACGTATCGCTAAGTTATAAAATTCTTAAAAACAAATGGAATTTTACCTATGTTATTTCCATAAGAAATTTGGTTGGGGTGTGAACTATCTTAAAGGTAATATTAAGAGCTAAAACGTTCAGAGAATTTTTTTATCAATTTGGAAGCACGTGAGCACCTGGCAGCAAAAATAAAGCTGTATGTGTAGTAATTGACAATAACTACAGGTAATTTATATTGTTATATACTTTTTGAAAGTAATAAAATTATCTACTTCTTTGGTGCTTCCCTTTAATAGCTAATTCATGCAAAATGCTAATTGTGATATAATTGTCACTTGTATCAATACATCCATCTGTGGAAAAACTAATAATTTTTCATATCTAATACCATAGTTGCTAATTCTATCTTCAAATTCTCTGCAATTACTTCAATTCTTCTAGTGACAATTCGTGCTTTGGCTTTTTTACTAATTATCTATCTTATTTTTCTTTGTTTTTATGCGATAAAAAAATAATGCTTTGGCACATTCTTAAAAAAAATCACATCAGTTTTTAGCGAAATGAAGAGTTCTAATTACATCTATGAGTAGATCAGTATATAGTATGGCATGGATATTATAGTATATAGTTTGGCCTTGCATACCAAACTATTTCGCGACTTTATTGGCCAAGGGCCTGGATGTTCTTATTTGAATGATCCTTACAGTTTAGGTAAAAGTTGTCATTGAGCTTTTTAATTTGTTCGAGTATCGTCGATACGTCGATACTGTTCATGTAATTATTTTATAGAGTAATAGTGTCTCGTCAGTGGGTCCCTTGATTTGTTGAGTACTAGTCGTAAAGCTTTGTTTTGTACTGTCTGTAATCCAATTAAAAATGTAATGAAAATATTTATATTTATTGAAATATATGCTTGTTCAAGTTAAAAAAAAAGTACTGTAGTCCAATTATTCATCTGTAAATGGTTTTTATTGTTAGCTAGTAAATACATTATTTTATATGACGCGATCGTTGCTTTTTTGTATTTTGCAGTGGATTAGTAAAAAAAAATATTGCTGGTTAGTTATTAAAGATTTTAGAAAAATAACTTTTTTCTTCTAATTTAAGAGTAATTGAATAGACATTTCAGAGTTTATTGGCTCTGGATAGTGGATATCATACATTTTTATTAGCAAAACGAGGGCGTATTTAAAATCGTGCCGCAGGCGCCATATGTTGCCTACCTCTGGTTAAACTAAAATGCGCCAAAACTATAATATATGTAAGGATATATTAGTGCGATGAACATTTTTGTATTAATTTCATTTTGATAATATATTGATTTTGATGTTTCGGAACCAAGGTAAATAATTTTTACTTCTCGATTTACTGGTTCATATTTCAATAATTAAATCTTGTTGATTGTAATATTTATAATGTTTTTTGTTATAAAACATGAATATAAAACTTTTGATTGAAAACTAGATGACTCTACTTATGTTTACAATTAAAAAGTTATTTTTTTTTTAATAACTATACTGATATTTACGAAATAGTTAAAAATTATTATGTTTTTTTACACTACAGTCTATACCGAAATGTACATACAACCACCCATATGTATCTTTGATGTATAACTGCTTTAAATAAAGATGAGTATTTGCTTTTTTGAAAAACATTAAAAAACAATTTTTTCTTATAATTAGTTTTTTTATCGATATCCGACGTTATTCTGAAAAAAAAAAATGCAATTACATCACTGAGAAGGATGTCATCGCACCGGGAAATGGTAAAGGCGTCTAAATTATTCTCATTCTTAAACTTGAGAGTAAGATAAACCTAATTTCAAAATTTCATACGAATTGGAGCACAGTAAAAAAAATCAGACCCCAAAACGCTCCATTGACTTGAGTAAATATTCCGTATTCGATGGCAAAAACTGAAAATACTAACGTTTGTATGTGAAAAAGAAAAGGGCTGTTTTCAGGTTTTTTCCGGCAATTATTCGATTTTTCTCGCCGTAAGACGATCCTTCGACGTCACCGAACATTTAACAAAAAAAGAATTGAAGAAAAAGAATATTTTTTATATTATAGATAATTAGGCTATTTATAACTATAGCACCAGTTTATAAAATTCAACTTTCTAATACCTAAATAAAGAAAAAAGATTATTATACTGGCACCATTTACCTTCAAAATTCATAATTGTAATGATCAAATATGTATATATGAACACGTGTACTCAAATATTAAAAAGAAATTAAATATTATCTACGGATTATTAAATCGATTTCTGAGTAACAGGGTTTTACTAAATTTACTTAAGAACGCACTTATTGCATACGTTGTAAAGTGGCTCATGTTCTAATCTTATCAATCGAACTCAATTTTTTTTTCATTACTTTATATGACGATTGCATTAAATCAACGAGAGTTGTAGTTGTATTGATAACTATGTCGCTGATTGCTGAAGATACTTCTAATACATAATTGACACCAAAATAAGTTGTAATATTAGATAATAAATTAAATTTTATACCACAGCCGAATAGTACTTTACAAGATTTCAAATGCCAAAGTCCATGAAATCTAAATTGCCAATGTCCAAGATTGTTGACTTTCAGAGATGAAAATTATAAATTGGGTATCTAGAAAAATAAATAGGAGTCAATATGAGAAAACAAAAATGATTGCCAGATAAAAATAAGAAATACAAACAATACACCTACAATATAAATTTAACCAAGAAATCGATTTGCATAAGATTTAATTCAAAAAGAATTACGTATTTAATCATCATCAACTACATATTAATCTTCTCGATGCAGAATTGGAAGTTAGTTACCCATATTAATTAATATAAATAATTAACTAACTTCCAATGCTGTTTAAAATTATAAATATCATCATTATTAATTATCCAAATTAATGATATTTTACGAGACTTAAAAAGTACAATGTTAAATCCGACGTATAATCTCTTTTTACTGCAATAGTACCAGAGGCTACGACACGAAAAAAAAATCAATGAACTAAGATTTAAAAAAAAATAGAAGTGATAACGATTACTAGAAATATGAGAAACTAAAATATTTTTACATGCTCTCATAACCATATCATTGATTATGGTTATGTGAAATTATATTCATTTGATATCAATATACTTTGAAATTATTTATTTATCAAAAATTGCATATTTATGAAAAAAACAGAATATGAAGTATAAATGCATCAGCAATAATAAATATGGAAATGCTCAATATAATGTTCATTAAAATTTCCATGCATTTGTTAAAATAATCATAAAAAATAAAGTACTTATAATAAAACTAATGCTGAATAAAATTAATTGATATATTTTTCAAAGTTACAAAATTTCAATTTCATTAAAAATAATCATGCCAACGTCCATAAATACCAGAAATAATTTGCTTATGAAATTTCAAATAGTTTGTCGTTTAGTTAGTAAGTATAAAATGCTTTATAAAATATACTTCCTCAATATTTTGAATAGTT